TTGTCCCGTCCATCGCATTTCTTGGACGGCGGTGATGTCAGCCTTTATTTTCACGAGGATATCAATCAGCTGGGCAGCGGCACCTTCCCAATTAAGGGATCGGACATCTCCAGGTGCATGCCCTCAATTCGTAGTCCTTATTTCGTATTCGCGGTATTACAATTAAATATTTATTATCTGACTTACAGTTAATTGGAGGCGGATCTGAGAAGGTTTTCCCATACCATGTTCAGTAACAGCTTTCCATTCTGAGCAGACGAAACCTTCTCCTCTGGAGGACAAGGGGAAGAAAGATTGATGAGGTCAATATTGGGTGGGAGCATTCTTTTTAAGGAAGATGCAGTGATCTCTTAATCAGACAAACTTTTACGTTTATTGGAAGGTTTTGGATTAACTTCCTGTTCATTTAGGCATTTAAATGATTGAAACGACGTTTCATATTGCCTAAAGTTTTCAGTAAGGGTTTCAAGTTCATGGCCAATCTCCTTGAAATTATTGCGCGCCTGCTTAAAAGCGTCAAATAAATCAATTTCAGTTGGTCTGCATTTAATGCAAGACCAGCGCAAGCCCTAACTATCAAGAATAGAATCCAATATTCTTCCCGTCAGTCCAGCACATTTAAGATGGGAAGCTCGTTACACAACCTGGTGCAATGATGCTAAGTATGGTAAAAACAAACATAATTACAAGACAGTGATTTTGAAACCATAATAGATTGAAAAATTCTTACAAAAAAAAGGTTTTTTCAACCGTGTAACTTCAAATCCGTGTAAAAAAAAAGAGTTGGATGTACCTACAATTTCACTTTATTTAGCAACAAAAGTATTTGAGCTCTGCTCCCGCAAGTAGATTGGAGGGGGGTTGGCGTTCACTACTATGGTTGTGCCTTTTGCATCGTCGTTAGGCTCTTTGCTCAATAAGGCAAATCTGTTGCCAATAAGAATTTCTGGCTTTTTACTATTTGGCGTGTCGATTTCCTTTTTACATTAATGTAGCCAATGTGAATTTTCTTTTTTGCTTGGTATATTCACACCTTGCATTTTGTTTTCTTTCGCTGTCCAGGTGCTTTCTGATACCTACATAGGGGCTGCTGTCAGTGGATTTGTTGTTGCCCGATTGCTGTTTACTGCTGACTGCACTAGCTTGGTTTCATCATCAGTTACTTTTGTTGTATCGACAAAGCTGAAGAAGGCTATTAAAAAATGCCTACGGTTTTGCTGGTCAAGCTGCAAAGTTCTCATTATTGTTTGTTTTGTTTTGTATTTTGTTTTGTGTACTATTTATTAATGTTTATTATTAATAGTTTGTGTATACTGGTTTTTATTTCATTGGTTGTTTTTTAATTTATTATTAATGGTTGTTTTCTTTTTGCAAAAATCATAATACGCGGAGGGAATTTCAAAACACGTCCGTACACCTTGAATACTTTTTCTTCTATCTTAAATCTGCTGAGTATTTTGTTTTGAACATTTATAGCTGTTCATTTCTAGAGGTCCATAGACTTGATACCAAAACTAAGTATTTTAAATTGTCGAATAAATGAAGCGTGGTAAATAAATAATGTATGTTCACATAATTGTCAGTCCAGATATCCGTGGTTAAAGAAGCATTTCCTTCATCAACAACTTTTTTTAAATACGATTTAACTTAGTTTTTCTTCTCCTCAGCCATTTTATAAATCCTCCGCGAGATAGTAGATGCATTGGTAACTATGTCAGGTATATTAACATTTAATTAACATTTCCACCGTATTTCGATCCCATTTCAATTCTGCTTATTTTTCAAAACCAGATCCATCAACGGCAATAAAAGGGCGGCAATCTTCTATTATCCATTGTGAACAGACATTGATAGCGAATTCCTTGTCTCTTGACTTACATTTCTCATAACCACTTCCTGCCCAAAAGTGTTAGCGAAGCATTTGTGACGCATCAAATTACTGCTTTGCATACCAATAAACTTTAACAAATGCTTGCATTTTCGACTGTAAACAAACTCTTCCAATGTACTTCCATCGCTTTTTTTTATTTCAGCAAACACGCTCTAAACTACACTTTTACCTCGTTTCTGCGTTAATTGATAATTACTATTATCAATGTTCTCTATTATTCTATTTTGATTTTTTAATCCTTTGTACTCCGCACTATTTTAGACGTTGGCTATCATGCCATTGTGAGAAGGTAATATTTTTTTTAAGAATTTGAGAGTAGCCAAGTATTCACTGCAGATCACTGGGTCCGTATTCCTGAAAAGTTTGGTGCCGATCGATTTAGTTTTATGGCCATACATATTTTTATGCGCGTACCGTTAAGTTTTTTAAATACATGTACGCTGTCGTCAACTTCTCCTTGCTTCGCGCAAACAATATTTAAAACCTGCACTTTTGCTTTCACCAACGGAACAGTTGAGCTCCCGGAGGCACGGAGGGGTCAGGGGACGAAATGCCACATAATTATATTAGTTTTTTTTTTATTATTAATTGATTTTCTTTAAAACATTTTAAAACTAGTATACATTTATGCATATTTTTAATTTTACATAAATATTATTACATTACGTAAATAAGCTGTAAGTTATCAGTATTTCTCAGAAGAAAGCGTTATTTTAATAGGATAAACTCCTCCGTTGAAGTAACGGCGAGTTTGCGCGAAGACGGAGTGTAGAAGAAAATTGACCTCTGACAAAACATTGAAAAAAGTAAATAACAACTTACCGACAAATATAAATTTGAGCTCGCATACATATTGATGCTGCATTGTGCACATCGCTGCAAAGTTGGCAAAGTTTCTATGCATCAACATCTCGCGACGACGTCGGCAATGTTTACACTTAGGCTGTTCACGATAAGGTGGTTATCGGGTTATGTGGTTATGTGATTAAGTAAACAACAACAAAATGCGGTATGACAAAATAACCAACTTTGACCAACCCAGACCCTTGTTTACAGATTATGTGGTTGTTTGCTTATTTCCAGTGTTAGAAAGTCGTTGGAGTTTTACTAAATGGCAGCAAAATAAATAAATAAAACTAAGCGAATGGCATTTCCATTTATATTTTCTAATTGGAAATTCTGCTATTAACAGCTGTTTTTTGTTTACAATTGCATTGTGACACTGTTCAGCGCGCAAGATGTCTGCAAATTTTATACAAAGAATCTTTTGAACTCTTAAAATTTGGATTATTTAATAAGAACATACCTTCAATAAAGTCCATTTCCTGAATAGCAGAACTTATTTTAAATTCAATTATGTTGCTTTTTAAACTTTGTTTAGGCATTTTATAAGTAGAAATTTCATTGAACTTAAAATGTAAACAATGAACAGCTGTTTGTGTRAAAATAAGCATATAACCATACAATATGGGATGTTCACGGAACATAGAGGTTATTTTTAATCTAATAACCACATAACCCGATAACCACCTTACCGTGAACAGCCTAACTTTTGTTCATTTTGCAGTGCTTTATTATTCAAAATTGACTTTGCTCTTTTCAAGTACTAGGATTTTTTGGTTGAGCGTGGAATATATAAAATGGGCTAAATCGAAAAGCTGTGAAAATATATATTAAGTAAAAATATAAAATACTTATATGGAAGAATAGAGGAGTTCATATAAGTGGTAATTTTTTAATTCAATATCATATATTCAAGAAAAAAGAAATACATGAAATAAATTTTGAGAGTCGGCTGTTGCGTCAAGCGACAAGATATATACGCATATTTAAACCTAAAATTAAAATTAAGAAAATTGAATTAAGAAAGTTTATTGTAAAATACCTACCTTAATGCACTCATAATACCAATCTATTACTTACCTTAATACTTACCATTATCTCTTACATTATTTAACGAAAGTTGAGAATGATTATACTTACCCCATTTTAATACATATTTATATTACCACTAGTTTAAGCCGTTAGTTTTAAGATTAGGCTTAGCAATTAGATTAAGAAATAAAGAACTCTCTCTTGCAAAGTGAACGTGAATTCGAACGGACGTGGTTTTAATTTATCGGAATATTATATTATCGCTCCCGTGACAGGCAATTAGGCTTTTAATTATTCGCGCATTCCCAGTGCATATTTTTTCGCATCTCAAAAACGCTTGAGATTTGTCATGGCGCCTGAGCAGGGACTTAGTGCGTGAGCTAAGAATATTTTAATTGAGTTCCGTTTTCGTTTTAATTAACCATTATCGTTTTTAATTGCCTGTCAATCGCGGTTGTCGGTCTTCACAAAGTCAAAAAAAAAAAAAAAAACAAAGAAACATACATTGGAAGTGACCAAGTTGTGCAGTGCAGTGATAGTGATACCTAAATACAGGAAAAATAAAAATAAAGCCTAAAATATAAACACAAAACTAAAGCGAGAATAAAAAGAAAAAGTGGTGGCAAAATTATAATACTTACATATATGCATACGAGGACAGTGATTAATGCTTACATACATACATAAACGTGAAGTGGAGTGCTAAATAAATACTTACCTATATACCCACTATAAAATCAAAAAAGAAGAAGGGARGTATTGTGAAGTGTGTGCATATACATACGTACATATATACATAAATATAATTAGCATACAACTAAAGAAACTAAAAAGTGGTACTTACAGTTTACGAGGTGAATTATTTATGCGGTACAGTGGTAGGCGCAAATAAAGGAACACAAGTTTCTGCCCTAACCAAAAAACAACAAAAAAAATTTGTATATATACATACATATTGTATATACTTATATATATATGCTAAGTTACAGTTTAGAAAACAGTTTTCTAAACTGTTTAAAGTGCCGCAAAATTAAAAAACCGGTAAGCCCAAAAACCGTTGCTATCATCCGTTGTTGCCAAACCGTTGCTGTGGTAATTACTTCGTTGCCATCACTTYGCTGTTATCGCACCGCTGCTGCCATCGTCGCCACTGCCATCAACCCGCCGCTACCACAACGCCGCTGCTGCCATCGTCGCTACTACCATCAAACCGCTGCTGTCATCAATCCGCTGCCGTCGTGGGAATGAGCTGCCGCTGTATACTTTGTCAAAGGGACGTAAGCGCCGGCAAACAGCCGATGCACCAGGTAACGAGTGCGACTTACTGAAAGCAGAAAAAAAAAATAAAACGAAAACACATACAAATAAAATTACAAAAAAAAAAAAACAAGTGCATACTTTCAGTTTTTGGCTCTCCCTTTTCACTTTACATAAATTACATTGACTTTATTGTATTGCCTTGTATTTAATATACAAACATACATCTATACATATATTAATACATGCTCAAACATATACGAATTCAAAGTGAATAAGGGATTTTGGGATTTTGCGGTAGCCCTTTATTTTGAAATAAAGGTGAAAAAATTATTAATTGCAAAATTAAATTTTCTACTTTTTCGCAATTTTTTCGATCCGCGTTTGCAATTATCGGCCGTTTTTTCGCAATTTTTATCGATTTTCGTTCAGACATTTTCCGATTAAATTACTTTTTTGTGTTATTGCTCAATTTGCGCATTTATTGGTTTGGCTTAAAAGATATTATCTTTTTTTCGTTTTCGTAACCAATTCCAAATATATTTGTTGCCAACTTTTATTGCTATTGGTTTGGCTTTCGTATATTTGGGAATCGACATATATTTTTTCGTTTTCGTTATCGATTCTTAATATATCTGTTGCCAACCGTTATGGTATTTTTTTTTCGGAAATTTAATGAAACCAACGCAAAATGAGCAAGCCAAAGCCAACTCTCGCAAGCCTGTCTCCAAGTAAGGAGTTGACGGACTTAAAATCGTTAAGACGTCAAAGAACGGTTGCGAAAAGTAGTATTTTTCGCATTAAAACGGGCCTTCTCGAAAAGACTATGTCTTTAGATCCAATAGAATTGGAATGTCGTCTCGATATATTAGATTAACATAGTGAGAAATTAATGAAATGCCAATCAAAGATTGAAGAAATTGATGAGGATGAAAATTACCCGAAAGCGTTGGCAAGACTCAAAAAAGTTTATGATAATAAATGCTTGATATATTTCAATACAATATCTAAACTTTTAGAGCTGCTAACAATCCCAAAGCCATCCGCTCCTTCATTGTGATCAATGATTGACGAAGTGTCAGCGGTGTATGACTCACTGCTATCGCTGGGCGATAAGAAACATATAACAAACGGTATTATTATACACATTGTAATGACAAAGGTTGACCCCGCCACCCGATCCAAATGGGAAGAAGCGCTGGACTATGATAAACTGCCACTGAGGAAGGTCTGTGAAGCCACCCTAAATAGGAGATTCCAGCAGCTATCAGCGGAAGGAGCATCAAATTTAAGGACGAAGCCCATACCAACAAGCAGTGCGAGTCATGGGAAACAACAATATATAGACAGAACCAAATCGGCGCTAGTTGCAGCGAATACGAGGCAGCCTCTTTGTCAGCAGTGCAAATCGAGGGATCACCATTTGACTGCCTGCCCCACCTTCAAGGCGCTTCCGGTGCMGCAGAGGTTCGAGTTCGTGAAATCGGTGCCCTTATGCGTAAATTGTTTGCGTAAGGGGCACACGGTATCGAAGTACAGAGCGGATCGATGTCGTGTGTGCAATCGATCGCATCACACACTGTTGCACCAGTATCCCGTCTCCTTCCCCGCTGCACCTCATCCGCAACCATCCACTACACATCCCATGCATACAGCAAGTATGTCGGATCGGGTAATGCTGGCAACAGCAGTAATTTTAGTGAGGACCAGCTGAGGAGATTACCTGCCTGCGAGAGCCTTGCTGGATTCAGGCACCCAGGTCAATTTTATGGCGGGGGACTTGGCACAAAAGTTGCGGATTCAACGTCAGCACAAAACAGTAACCGTAATTGGAATTGGCAATTCCAATACAAAAGTGGAGTCAAAACTAAGCGCGTTTGTCAAGTCGCGGTTAAATAATTATGAATTTTTGGCGGAATTCTGGGTAATGCGATGCATTTCGGCAAATCATCCAGACCATAACATCAATGTTAGTGGCTGGAAAATTCTGCACAATGTTGAATTGGCGGACCCAGAATTCCACAAATTTAAAAAAGTGGATATCCTTTTGGGTGCTGAAACATTTTTCGATCTTTTAGCTGTTGGCCAAATTAAAAATGGTCCTAACCAACCAACTCTTCAGAAAACCCTTTTAGGATGGATTGTATCTGGCAAATACGCCAGTAGTAGAAGTTCTCCTCCCAGATTACATAGCACATTATGTCAAGCTGAAGAAGACTTTACGTCAATTCAGTAGTCCAAAAATTTTGGGCTTTAGAAGAATTACCTTCAGATTCTAATGGCATTAAATTCACACTAGAGCAACAAGAGTGAGAACAATTTTTCGTAAATACAACTCAAGTATTGCCTTCAGGATGGCTTCAAGTCAGAATGCCTTTTACAGCTGGCCGTAAGTTACTCGGTCACTCCTATGAAACCGCAGTTCGGCGGTTGCATTGGGTCACATGAGCCCAACGAACAATAAGATCCCGAGTGAGCCACACTAATTCATTCCGCATCAATGCGTTTTAAGGCCCGAGAGCACAATAACCAAATTACGTGTTGTCTTTGATCCGTCGAGTCGATCTTCAACTCAAATAGTGAATGAACTTTTGATGGTAGGTCCAACCATCCAAGAAGAGTTGTACTCAACTCTTCTTCGTTTTCGCTTACATAAGTGTGCACTAACATCGGGCATTACTAAAATGTACCGCCAAATAATTATGCATGAAGAAGACAGAAATTCTCAACTTATTGTGCATCCTTATGAGCAAATTCAAATTTTTCGTCTTAACACCGTAACATACGGCACTGCGCCTGCTCCATTTCTCGCAACACGATGTGATACCAATACAATGAAATATCCACTCGGTTCATTGGCCATCAAAAGAGACTTCTATGTTGATGATTTATTAACAGGGTCCGAAAATTTTGAGTCGCTAGATCTTTTGAGAAGTGAGGTAATTCAAATATTAAACTCGGCCGGATTCACCTTAACGAAATGGTTTTCGAACCACCCTAATTTTTTCGACAGTGATTGCACTGAAAAGTCATTAAGCTTCAATGACAAAAGTTCAACTAAAACGTTGGGAATCCATTGGTTGCCGAAAGAGGATTTGTTTCGCTTTGTTTTAGATGACAATTTTAATGATCTGCGAGCCACTAAAAGAAATATATAGTCGGTTTCCGCTCGCCTTTTTGATCCTCTTGGATTACCAGCCCCACTAGTTACCAAAGCAAAAATCTTATTGCAAAAGCTTTGGATCCAAAAACTAGATTGGGATGAGTCGATTCCATTGCGCCTTGACACTAGATGGCAGAACTTTAAAGCCAACCTAATGCAGCTCTCATCGATTAGCATTCCTCGTTACGTAAACGTTGAGTCGAGTGCCATCTGCCAAATACATGGCTTCTCCGACGCCTCAATAAGRGCGTACGGATGCTGCATATATATACGAAGCCAATCTGATAGTGGTATTAAATGTATGCTGCTTACTGCAAAGTCTAGAGTGGCTTCGCTGAAGACCAAATCTCTACCACGTATTGGGCTCTCGGCAGCACATTTTCTTTCGAAATTATGGTTAACAGTAGCGCCTATGTTGAGTCGACACTTCGAAAAWATTACATTTTGGACAGACTCCGAAATCGTTTTACTTTTTTAATCCACATCCATCCTCACTACAACCTTCGTCGCAAACAGAGTGTCCGAAATCCAAGAGTTGACTGACAAAGTACATTGGCGAAATGTGCAAACGAACCAAAATCCTGCGGATCAAGTGTCTCGGGATTGTAACGTGGACGAATTGAATAATTCGATATGGTTTGGCGGTCCACAGTTCCTCCTGGAAGACCCTGCCTTATGGCCAATTAATAACCACTTCCAGCTTCACCAAAAAACGAAGCATTAGAGAAGAAGAAAAATACATTTACATTAATTTCGACTGCTGAGAAAAATTCAATATTGGACCTTATTSAAAAATTCTCTTCTCATAAAAAATTGCTTCGTGTGGTCGCATACATATTACGATGGATCAGACGACCACCAAAATCCTCCATGGGACAGGATCTAACTTCAGAAGAGTTAAACTCGAGTTTTTTAAAAATTGCACAGGTGGTCCAACATTCAGAATTTTCGAATGTTATTCAAAAATTGCATAAAGGTACCACCTTACCCGCAAACTTGTAAAAACTCAATCCGTTTTTGCATAAGTACTCGGATACATCGGTGTCATTCAAATTAATCCGAGTAGGAGGTCGCCTATTAAATGCACCTCTCCCATACGATGCAAAATGTCCGCCTTTATTAAATAAAAGTTCGCACTTCAATATAACGTATTTACGGTCCCTGCATATTCGAAATCACCACGCTGGGGCTAAAGCGTTGGTTGCGCTTCTGCGAGAACGCATATGGCTAATTAATGCCCGAGAAGCCTGCAGTAGAACCATAATAAACGGTATACATTGTTTTCGTTACAGGCCGAAGTTGCAAAACCAAATAATGGGAAATTTTCCAGTCGAAAGACTACGAGACTACTTCTCATATGTGGCGTAGATTTTTGTAGTCCGATATACACAACGTTAAAACTACGCGGCCGACCACCCGTAAAAACACATATTACAGTTTTCGTCTGCTTTACTTCCAAAGCAGTACATTTAGAATTAGTTTCGGACCTATCTTCTAATTCATTTATTCTCGCCCTAAAACAGTTCATTAGACGCCAAGGAGTCCCGACGAAGATATTCAGCGACAACGGCACCAATTTCGTCGGTGCCGATCGCAAGCTGTGTGAATTGAAGGAGGCGTTTCTAGCAATGGGTCCAGAACTGAAGAGATTCGCAGCAGACGAAGGGTGCAGCTTCATCTTTATACCACCGCGGGCGCCGCACATCGGCGGATTATGGCAAGCCGCAGTGAAGTCCGCCAAACACCACATCGTTCGGATAACCGGCAATGCGCTACTCACAGCAGAGGAGTTAGCAACAGTGTTGACCTAAGTGGAGGCCATCCTCAACTGTCGCCCCCTGGTACCTCTGAGCCAAGATCCCAACGACGGCGAGGCGTTAACACCAGCGCATCTATTAATAGGATGCTCCCTGCGGGCATCACCCCCAGAGAAAGTGGACCCAGTTCGGTGTTGCGAGAGATGGCAACTTGTTTGTTGTCTCAAGCAACAGTTCTGGCGACAGTGGTCCAAAGTATACCTGACGGGACTTCAGGTGCCGCAACAAGTGGTGCGGTTCGCAGACGCAGCAACCAAGACGGGCACGATTAAGCGTCCCATCCACAAACTGGCCGTGCTTCCACTGGATAATGAAGGAATCTGATCCTGTCAAGGTGGCCGGTGTTGCGTCAAGCGACAAGATATATACGTATATTGAAAGCTAAAATTAAAATTAAGAAAATGTAATTATAAAAATTATAAAATATTGAATTATTGAAAATTAAATTAAGAAAGTCTATTGTAAAATACCTACCTTAATAATGCACTCATAATACCAATCTATTACTTACCTTAATACTTACCACAATCTCTTACAATATTTAACGAAAGTTGAGAATGATTATACTTCCCCCATTTTAATACATATTTATATTACCACTAGTTTAAGCCGTTAATTTTAAGATTAGGCTTAACAATTAGATTAAGAAATAAAGAACTCTCTCTTGCAAAGTGAACGTGAATTCGAAGGGACATGGTTTTAATTTATCGGAATATTATATTCTGGCTCCCGTGACAGGCAATTAGGCTTTTAATTATTCGCGCATTCCCAGTACATATTTTTTCGCATCTCAAAAACGCTTGAGATTTTTCATGGGCAATGAGCCACTTTGCGTTTTTTTTTCTAAAGTGAACATCAGAGGATTCTTCAATTTCTGGGCAACATGCAAATACGTAGTTTCCAGGCTATTTTTCCTTTAAGTTTTATTGCAACTTTTTTTATTAAATTTTGTTTCAAATTCTATTGTTATTCTCGAACATTTGAGGGGAAGTTCCATATGAAAATGAATTGTGGTTGAAAGTGGCCCACAGGAAAAAACGACAGAGCTATGAACAAAAGCACTTGACACGTGCGCGATTTTTTTTTTTTTTTTTGTTTTTTACAAATGGCATGATGAGGGACATACATATGTATGCAAATTTTTATGTATGTACACTACGATATAAGTTGAAACAAAAGAGTTAGAGTAAATTTCGGAATTTCTAAAGCTGAAAATAAACGTTTTTGTAATTTTGTTAAGTATTTGTTCATGTATGCATAAAAAAGTCAGGCGGAACGTGCTAAGTATGCTTATTTAATATAGAAATTTATTTGTAAATATGTATAAACATACTCGTGTGCATGTAAAATCAAGATTATATTTAACACCATCCACTTTTAGGTAAATTTAGCACTTAACTTTAACAGACTACACTAATGTCTATTTCTCTTCAGCCCGAAATTCTAAAATTTCACCAAGTTTGAAGATACAAACCATACATACATATGTACTTGGTTTATTACCATACGGACGTGGTTTATAGAACACAACATAAAATATCGGGTGATTTTTTAAGAGCTTGATAACTTTTTTAAAAAAAAAAACGC